CTTAGCTGTTACCAGTGACACCGGTCCAGCATATCCGGTGATACACAAACCTGCAACCACGTGCGTCCGCACATGGTAACCCGAGTGCGAGTGCCCTCTTGCCAAAGAGGGCACTCACCCCGGAGATCACGACATGAATCAAAGAGATTATCGGTGTGCATCATGGGCAGATTATGCATGCATGTCGTGTATGAATGTGCCTGTGACCTTATGTTAACCTTCAAAAATTCCAGGTAGATAGTTAAGTAAGGAGATTGAGAACCTAGTATTTTGTCTTGCTTCACGTAAGAAATTCCACGCACCAGCGGTGCACCCAACTCGTTTCTCCGTGTTGCCATTTTGGGCTGTTTTTTTCCGAACCCCAGCGCCATCATGAAATTCCGGTTACACTCCTACCCGCAACCGGAGTAAACGAAGTCCAAAACACTTGCATGCGTCTCTGTTCGGCCCCATTATTCCTCGAGACAAAATGCCTTACACACATGCAGACCTGTCAACTTGTCTTAAGACCAGCTCTCTCCGATAGCTCACAATTCGCTTGATTGCCCGTGGAGACTGTGTTCTACACCGCAGGTACGGGTTAGCGCCTGAGGAGAACGAATGGGACGCCATTCGGATAGCGGCGTCTCAGTCGGGGCTGCTGCCCAACGAGACGACACTGCCCAAGGTCAGGTGTGCTCGTCGTCCGCCCTGATTCGAAATTATGCTACCCAAGGCTTAGATGCCTCCGCCGATGGGCTTATTCTACCTGCCCAAGCTCCTGAACGATGGCCGACGGCGTCAACCTGCTTTTAATCAGTTTTCTCCGCTATGATGCATTTCGTTTCATTGTTAAGCCACAGAGGGACTTGATGTTATTATTTGTACAAGACTACTCACCACCTACCTCCATCCGGACCTCCCTCACTGCCGCTATCCCAAGTAACTTCACCGCCGCCCACAGCTGTCACGCGAACACGTCTCCCAGCGAACTGACGCCGGGACCTCTCTTGCCGCAGGTGCTCGGTCGTCACGGCTACACCAGCTCGCTCGTCGGCAAGTGGCACCTGGGCATCAGCTGCCAGCGCTATGGAGACCACTGCCACCACCCGCTGACGCACGGCTTCGACTCCTTCTACGGCATCCCCATGACCAACCTGAAGGACTTTGGCGACGACGGCGAGATGCTTTACTCCTCCGCCTACCCCATCACCTTCCCCATCTGCTACGCGCTGATGGCCGGTGGAGTGCTGTCGGCACTCTTCTTCCGTCGTCGCTCACGGCTGCTCCTCGCGCTCTCGCTGGCGCTGACCGGCGCTGCGCTGCTCACCGCACTCTTCTTCGCCAACGGGAAGATCCTGAGTTCAATCATCATGCGGGACGAGCAGGTGGTCGAGCAGCCGATGCGGCTCAAGGGCCTAGCACAGCGCTTCGTGGCCGAGACGGAGGAGCGGCTGGCGGCGCATGCGCGCGCCGGCCGTCCCTTCTTTCACATGCACTCATTCTGCAAGATGCACGCGGCGCTGGCGGTGGCGGACGAGTTCCGGGGTAAGTCACGACACGGTCTGTACGGCGACAGCGTGTTGGAGCTTGACTGGGCGGTCGGGCGGATCCTGCACACTCTACGGCGCCTCGGCCTCGACCGAAACACGTTCGTCTACTTCACCTCCGACAACGGCGGCCACACGGAGGAGCGTGGCATCAACGGTGACGTCCAGGGCGGCTTCAATGGCCCTCTCAAGGGCGGCAAGGGTATGGGCGGCATGGAGGGTGGCATACGCACGCCGACAATGGTGCGCTACCCGCCGCGCGTGCCAGCCGGATCGGTGGTTGACTTGCCGGTCTCCAGCATGGATCTGCTGCCCACGGCTTTGCGGCTGGCCGGTCTGGACGTGTCGAGAGAGCTGCCGAACCGGGAGATTGACGGCCGAGACATGCTGCCGTTGCTGTCGGGTGCCGCGCACGTCTCCCCCCACCGCTTCCTCTTCCACTACTGCAAGGCGACGATCCACTCGGCGCGCTGGATGGAGGACGCGGCGCACACATGGAAGGTGCACTTCTACTGGCCGCCGTAGATTCCTGGCACTCAGCTCTGTCCATTTATCTGCGAGTGCCACCATTCACGGATGCTGCCGCAGCCGGCCGTCTACAACATCCAGCAGGACATCAGCGAGGAAAGGCCGCTCTCGCCCGACACGGCGCAGTACGGGCGCGTGCTGCAGACCATGCGGAACGCCGTGGAGCAGCACCAGGCCGGCCTAGAAGGGGTGCCAAGCCAGATGACCTGGTGGGACCACATGTGGCGGCCGCATCTGCAGGCATGCTGTCAGCCACCATTCTGTCGCTGCACCGACCCCAAGTATCCGTGAACACGCTGCAACATATGGGTGTGTGGACGCGCCCTGCCGATTCCGAGCAAGCCCGGCCCCGTTCTCCGCTTAACGCACCGGTTCCGAGTACCCAATGCGTGGTCGTTCTGCTGTCAGCTGGCCTGGCGCTGGCGAAATGGCGGCCTAACATGCGCTCGGTTGCGGGTTCAGTTCCGTCCCCCGTGTTTTTTTCAACGCAATCTCCGAACGGCGCAACGTAATGACGCCACATATTGCATAGCTGTGTACAACTGAGTAGCTGGTCTTGCGGTACGAAATAAATAATTTATCCTAGAGTTCACTTATTTGTAGCTTCGCAAAGTCAGGCCATGCTTGCCAGCAAAGGCAAGTATTGTGACAGCATGCTTAGTACGATAATGCAAGGACACACTTTTACACGAAGTTATGCACTTTTAGCATAGCTCCTTATATGATTGCATGATTAGAATTGGCTTTACCTCTAATCTCAATCGCATTTGGTCAGTTAATCTGTGAAGTCTTACTTTGTAAGTGACATAGCATCACGCTGTCGTCATACGGAAAGGCGGGCGGATAGTTCAGCTGACGTTTGAGCTTTGGGTGGCTCCGTGTTAAAAACAGTTTTATGAGTGTTTTTTTACGCTGGCTATGTTACTTGCGTTTAATACTGTGCAAGAATGAATTTTAGCTTATTGGACGCTGGATATGGCGTTGCTGTTCAATACTTGGACTGGCTTTAAATGTTTAAAAACGGTGAGTTTTGTGAAATTGCACGGCTAAAAAGGAAGGCTACTCCTTTTTATCCGGGGAAGACTGAACCAAATTTAGTTAGAAAACGTGACGTCGCGGCGTTGTCACTGCATTTTTTAAGACAGGCCAATTTAGTTAATTGCAAGCTTTCAAAGAATGACCAAAATGGAGACGGTGGAATTACGCAACCAACTTAAACCGCTGCAAAACCAAGCAAGCAGCCAAAAAGAAATGATTAACTGTCTTACAATGCAGATGGCCGAAATGGCCATCGCGTTTAAGGACATAGAGGCAGAAAAGAGGAAAAAGATGGCTGATGACTACGACGCAGGACTGAAAGACCTTCAGTGTGCTGCAAAACAAATTGACGACGATCTTAACTTTCTGAAACGGCAGCACAGCTATTGTGAAGGCCAAACAAAAACCATTTATGAACTGGGAGTTTTATGCGGAGCCGCCATGGTAGCTTATGGAAGTAAGCTAGATGCAGATATATGGCATCCTTCCAATGGGCACAGGCTCACAAACTAGCAAGAAGGGATGCTTAGCCGTTTAGACGTATTACAGATCCACCACAGGACTTCAAACTGTTTGGTGAAGTCCTCCAACCACCGTGACTGAAACCCGTAACCAACGTTGAAAAAGTAACCGACTTTGGAGTTGTAATTAGCGGGGAATCTAATAACAGTTCCAAACGAATGACAATTAATCTCAATTTCACAGAAACGAATGAGGTCACACACATTCTTGGGTTTCGTGGTATCAATGTTATCGTTTTTTGCGTAGGTGGAATAACGGAAGAAGCATTCTCGGTTGCCTGGTCATGAATAACGTTCAAAAAAGGTGTCGTATTTGGTGTTTATCTTAAAGAAGCACGCAATTTAAAATCTCATTTATTTCGTATTTCTCATTTTTCAAGGTTTCTTTTCTCACCCTTGAACTATTCTGGCGAGTTTTAGCACTAACATAGACCCTACAGAAAGCGTACTTGCCGCGTCGGCATTTTTATTGCTTAATGCTCGGTGCATGCAAGTTTACTTTGATCAGAAATCCAAAGAGAGCCAGACCCTTACAACGATATTTCAGTTCTTCGTTATCTGTTTGTCTCAATGCTTCATGTTTGGTATGCAACACAATTATGAATCAAGAGTCTGCGATAAATGTAACAAGCTAAATTCCTAACTGGCACAACGTAAAGTGAATAAGATTTAATGGAATACCACTGTATATTTGGATGTGTACAGCACGTCCAAACCGCACTACGGCCTTGGACTATCTAGCATTTATGCTGTACATGCGTACACCTGTAACACTCAGTGTGCAGTTTCATGTTCGCTTCAAGGGGGGGAGGGGACTCCAGCCCCCGTAGCTTCGAGTCATTTTGCAAAACTACGTTCCTGCCTTCTACTTGATATTTTGTAATCACAGCCTCACGATTCCATTGAAATTATAAGGTTTTTGCATATCAAGCCTATGTCATGAGCAGTCCAGGGGCGTCAATGATCTGTTAAGACCCAGACCCGACTTAGCTGGAGGCCCAGTTGAAGCGCCGTCCAGAAGTGTAACACGCACCATCTGCGGTAACCTGTTTCAAAGCCGGGCTGGGGGGGAGGGGGAGCCTGGCGCGCAGCACGGGTGCACTTTGTGCAGGAAAGGCTTAGCCCTTGTGCTTTAAACCGACAGGGCGTCTTGCCCTCATGTTCGGCCACATGCTGATTCGCCGCAGCACAGCCTGCTGACGATGCCTGCTGATGTTTCTCAGCTCTATGGTCGGTCACGCGCGGTGGGCAGCTGATAAGTCGCAGAGAGTAAACGCACTCTCGTACACGAATGGACAGCGCCCTCGCCGGCCTAGCCCGTTATCAGTACACTTGACCTTCTCTCATAGCACTGACAAGAGACGGATATGAATAGGTGGCTAAAATGAGTATATTACAGACGTGCTGCAAACAGGTGTAGTATTAGCACCACCGCCAGCTTCAAGCTGAAAATGACGGCATTCGTCACAAGGTGCAAAGCGCGCTAAAAGGTTGTGGATGCACGCATAACAGCACATGCAATCAGACCGGCTCCCATGGTGAAAACGATGGTTAGATATGATTGACGGAGACATTACGAGTGCTTACATTCTTAGTGCTAACATTTTTTGAACAATTTACTTTCGGGACCTGCGTCACACAAATTCCTCTGAAGTGATAACCCGCCTGCGTCTTGATATGCCGCTTGCTGCAGGGATTTGCCGCCCGGCAAATGATCTGGCAAATGCATACGAAGTGTCAAAAATAGCCAGAACCACCCTGGCGCACCTTCGTGGTGAAGTGAGATACGTCTCCAAGATAACCACCGTCCTGACTCGGTGTCATCTGCTAATATTTACCGGCCGGCACTCTCCAGGCGGACTTAGCTTCTTCGCGCAGTGTGCTGTCAGTGGCCGGGTGCTTCCATGGAACCGTGCTTCGCTTTCCCGCGCGTGATCGCAACAAGCGAGCCTTCAGCCAGACGACACCCGCAATCAGACTTTGCACCGTGCTCAGCGCTGTGAAAACATCACCCAATGAACGCTCCACCATCGTCATGGCAGTAGACAAAGCGATGTGCTCTTTCTGAGGCATTAGCCAACCGTAGACGCGTCACACAAGTCGGAATGTTCGAAGCAAGCTATTTAAGACACATCGCAGCCCGCAGCTTTGTCAGAGTTGTCAGTCAGGTAAGATCATCACCACGGTGTGTTAACTCAGCAATAACCACGCAGCGGCGCTCAGCAGCTGGCGTCTGCGGAACCCAACCGAAAGTCCGTGTGTCTAGTTTTGGTGACCTGCGGCTTCAGATTACATACCCAGGTAACAACATGCATGCCACATCATGTATGCTTAAATCATGGATGATGTGGCATGCATCATGGCATGTGATATCATGAAAAAGCGCCAGGAAGAAGAACCTCTCCTTTTTGTGAGAATTTGCCGGTCGGCTCTAGCCGAGCAAATTTGGAGACCTCCTTTGCAACTGCAGCATGGCTCTACCCGACTGACCGATGACTTCATGTCCTTGACCTGAGCTGCTAAACATCGCCAAGCTACTGAGACTTTGTACCGAATTACCGCGAAATGGCTCAGTATGTAGCGTAACCCTCTTGGCTAGTGGAGGCATAGGCATATGGCGCCCTCTCCCCTCGGCCGCAGCCTTTTGTCCGATGGATTCAACTCCATCGTCCCTAAGATCCCAAGAATTTCGTGCCCACTACGGTCTGGCTTGAACTGTCCATACCTGAGTAGCCGAGCAGCAAACCCATGTTGCCGCCCATGGCTGGCAGCAGGTCCAGAAGCGTGAAAGACGGCTGCTCCACCAGAACATCTTTCAGAGGATCGAAGAAGAATGTGACAGATGGTTTGGTAACATTGCTGCTCTCGTCCCGCTCATTGTAACTCTCGGCATCCATCTTGTCCTGCGGCAAGTCAGTCATCACCACCTGGAGGAAGCTTGACGTTTTGTAGGTGATATCACGGAAGAGCACGTGGCTGGCTCTGGGAGGCGATCGATGAGCCTCTCGAAAGACTGCGTTTGCGCCGCTCACAACACCTCGCTTGGTGAGAGGTTGTTCTCAGGCCAAGCTAGTGTCTGACTTAGTGGGTCCATCCTTGGAAAGGTAGCTGCCGACACAGGCAGGCGGTGACCGGTCTGTCAAACGGTAACAGATTCCCAGCGCGCGCGACCGTGGAAACAGGGCTCTAGCGGACTTTCCAAACCGTGTCTCAAGCTCAATCCTGTGGGCAACGAGCTCAAAGTGATGGTCATTAGAGGTATGTGGAGACGGGCAAGGGTTCCAGTCACCTGAATACAGGGTGACGGGCAAGTGCATATCGTCAAGTTGACTCTTGGGGGACGGAGAGCCGCCCACTCCAGTTGCGTCTTGTTCCCGCAAGGTGGCAGGCCGATCACCGCCTCTGGTGTCATCCAGGGTGCCCTGCATCCCGCTTCGTGCGCCATCCGACTCCAGACGCAATCAAGCAGGCACTGGAACAGGTTCATCGGGTGCGATCGACTTCCCGAGACTGGGTGACATTGAAATGCCTCTTAAAACGTGCCCTCGCCTCCCTAGGAATAACGTGTAAGTCAAATACGCGGAAGGGCATGCCATCCACATACTACTTCTTTCAAAGATGTCGGTCTGTGTTCTAGCGTTACGCCCATTGTAGCTGGGAAGCAGAAGTTTTCAAGATAATGCACTTAATGGAATATACAGACAAATAACCACCCTGAGCCACATGCGATATGCTACGTACCTTTCGACATTTGCTCATTGAGTAGAAAGATTGGGTAGAAAGTGAGAAAGGCATATCATTTTGATCCGCAAGACAGCCGTTACATATCTCATCTAGTCGTTGAGACGACGGTACTCTACAGTCCGGCGTCACATATAGTTGCACTCACGAAGATGCCCGAAACCAGATTTCCAACTTCCTTACTTCAGCTTGTAAAGTGTTATCATCAATTTATCTGATAGACACACTGTCTTAAGCCTCTAGGATGTGGTCTGGTTTTGTAAAATGCTTGCAGACGTTTGGATGAAGGGCAGCCTTTGTTCGCGAATTTCGAAGCTGCGTATACTTATCTGTGTATTTATGTTACACCATAGGTCTGTCCCCAATGAATGTCTGAAGTGAACCCATTCTGGGACCCGTATCCTACAGAGGCGAGCCGCACAAAGGTCAAAATGCTCCACAATACGTACGCACAAACAACAAAAATATGGCACTAAAATAAGGGCGGACACTGACAGGGATGCAGCACAGCTTCATTACATTAACCGACGCTTTGATGCATGTGTACACTGCGAAGTATTCATGGAAGAGAATCTGAGTGGTAGCGCATACTCGCAGCCTTGCCGTTGGGTAAGCGCGATGGGGCTTTGCCGGCAGCGGTGCCATGATTAGAGGGCAGACTTAGGAGGTGGTCCTACCGTGTACTCCGCACGTGATTATGGCTACCTCGGTTAGATAGAAAGTTTGCGGTTTTAGATTCAGTCTCCCCTGTAACGCGGATTTGGCTTATAGTAGTATATAAGGGCCCAGTCAACCAAAGCATTCACACACGCCAAAAACGGGATCACATTTTTGTTTTCGTCAAATGGTTCGAGTGATGCATGTCTACACTGCGAAGCATTCGTGGAAGACAATTTGGGTGGCAGCGCATACTCGCAGCCTCGCCACTCGGTGTGCGAGATGGCGTTTTGTCGGCATCCTTTGAACGGCTTTAGGCGGCCCAGCAATTTTTGAACGGCCATCATGTTCTTTGCTGACCCATGTGTATGCACTGAAGCTGCAATTTTGTTGGCAATTTAGAATGATCAATCTGGCGTGTCAATGCGGCGAAACAAGGCGGTGCCTGTGTAGTTAATCTGCCATTTTGTTCGCAATTTAGAGTGATCGATTGGGTCAAAAGGTTGGCTTGACTCGATGAAGCAAAACAAATAGATGCATCCCAATACGCTGCAGAAGGCACGGGGCCCGAGGTGTCAAGTAAAACTATATTAGTTGAGTAACAGGGTTGAAAACCGGCTTGGGATAAAAAGCTCAGAGTTTTGTATTTCAGGTACTGGCGAAAAGGGTGCTGCACTTCCCTATCCAATAACCTGGAAAAGATGTTGTTGTTGAAGTTCAGATTCAAGACAAGGTCAAGTCAGCCAGATGCACATGTTGAAGTTTAGATGGAAGCCTTAGAGAAAACAATTATACGCTTGTAGAAACATATGTAAGCATCAGACACGATAGAAAAAAACTCACTTGAAGGTATTGGCATGTCTTAAAAGTGGGAAATACTGCTCTAGGCATAACATTGTACTGTCAATTAAATGTGCTTCCCAATATGTTATTACTTAGACACATCATGGGGCACCCTTATTATGTTACCATCGCTACCCGACTGGCTGTGTTCGAATTGCCTTGGTAGCGGACGGGGTGACTCACTTGTAGCACTTGAACTCACCGTAAGGTGGCTTATTTAGTTATGCGGGTGACTATTTTCCCGTTCCAGCACTGCATTAACTAGCATTTGCCTTATCGGTTACGGCACTTTTCTAAGTTATGCGACTCCCAGCTTAAGGTGGTTGAGAGTCAGCTAATGTCCGTTGATGCGACAATGCGCGCTGACGTACCTCCGACACAAATAAGTGAATATAAATTGTTTGCATTGAACACGATATGATAAGTGAGGCGACGAAATTCTCGTGACGTATCTGCGACGTCATTAATATCTGGGTGCCTTTAAACAAGGCGGCGCTACCAAAGTCTGTGCAAGTTCGTGTGCTTCTAATTCAGAAACGAAAGGATTGAAGAGGATGCAAGGTTGCGATTGTAAATTGCAGGGAATGTCTACTATTTAACACGCGCTCGGGTAGCCAACTAAATACCACACGCTCAAGCGCGGGGGGGTGACAGACCCGGGCCATCATCACTATGCCTCTACACGTGTTTGCATGATTCGGCCAATTGACGTTACCTAGGGTACACCCTCATAGATCGATCAATGTGAAGCTTTCTGGGCCGCTATGTGCATTTTGAGTGCACTGATTTCAATTTAAGTGAACAATTTTACTCATTGGGAGGGAAAAGTATTATTATGAGACTTATATACACTTCTGACCATGTGAGCTTGGCAGCCAATTTGTGGATCACCATAGCAGATTGCAGTACTTTGCGCAGATTACAGCACTTTGAGGTAGTTTTTGCTGATAATGTCATCGGTTGTCATGGGCGATGGGGGGACACTAAGGCCGGCCAAATGGACGCCTGAGAGCTGATCGGCGTTTAAAGATCAGCGTCGCATTTGTACTTGAAAACATCGGAGACACTGCCATTTCGAATCGTCAATCATTTCTTCGTGACGAGGACTGTTATACGCTATGCAGTGTATCGTAGGCACATTGTGATCTTTTTCCCGGAAAAGCGTAGCTGTGGAATATTTGTGGAGAGAGGGAAACGCGATTTGGACCTCGTTATATTCAACGCACCATCACAGAGCCAATTTTCAATGTCAATGTTGTTCCAAGTTTGAGATAGGGGAGGGGGGGGGGGCAACCAGCCCTCTTGTCCACGATCCGCAGAAAGAACCACTGATGCTCTGGCTTCTGATCGGTGGTCCCCATTTGTGAAAGACCGGACCATTAACGTTGGAAAATTATTTTTCCATCATTTTGCTGAGTTGTATAGCATGACATAGATAAATTGCACCAAATATAACAACAGTGCCGTAAGAAGAGGGGGAGAGTACAGGGGGCACGAGCCCCCTCCCCTCAGATTCCGAGGGGTCTGGAGGGCCCGCCAGGGCAGACGATCGAGGATCCGATCGGAGAGCGTAAGGGCACCAAGGGTTGGGCGGAGTCTTCTTCAGGCGTCCAGCCTACGGGGACGGCCCGGAGGTGACAGTCAGAGGGTCCCAGACCCGCAGGTGACAGTCAGAGGGTCCCAGGCCCGCAGGTGACAGTCAGAGGGTCCCAGGCCCGCAGGTGACAGTCAGAGGGTCCCAGGCCCGCAGGTGACAGTCAGAGGGTCCCAGGCCCGCAGGTGACAGTCAGAGGGTCCCAGGCCCGCAGGTGACAGTCAGAGGGTCCCCTGCGCCGTTCGGGAACCCTTTGAGTCGATAAGGGCCTATAGGGCGGAAAGGCACCACCAGCACTGCAGAGTTAGCTCCGCGCCGGTATTGGCCTGAGGGCCCGCTTCACCAGCAGCAACAAAGCCGGGGTCAGCACTTCACACTGGTCGGGCCCCTGTATCTGTCAGGGGCCCGCAGTGCCCGACAGAGGGTTCTGTGTTGGCAAGATGTGCGGAGTCGACCAGCAGCAGTGCGGGTGAGGCCCGACAAGGGGCCCGGGGTCCACTGAAACCAACGATTAAGTGCCTGATTGGGGAGAATAAAGGTGTGAAGGGTGGCTCTAGGTTACACAAATGATCCTGGTCCGTAAGGCAGTGACCTGAAATATCAGACAGAAGGCCTTTTGCACTGATTGAGGACCTCCTCAGACAACGCAGGTGTCTATGTCGGCCAGAGACCACCAACACGGAATAGTTGTCTTCGAGTCGGACTGAACGCCGGGAGTCTATTCCCCAAACAAAACCAGGGCCTGGCCCACGATTTGCATTGGCCCGGGTCCCTCAAACAATGATCGGGCCCCCGTGTCGGCCATAGACCGACGGTGCCTAACAGGGGCCATGTTTCGGCACGTAACCCCGAGTCCGTCAATGTTTTTTTTTTAGGAGTCCTGGAGAGGGGCCGAAGTGCCCCTCGGGCTAAAGGTCAATGGCCTGATTGGAAGGCTGAAGCGGCCGAAGGGCCTCCGAAGGACCAGCGGTAAGTCACAATAAGGACGCCCCCGACCCGTAGGGCCGTGACCTCAAATGTCAGTCGAAGAGCCTCTTGTATTGACCGGAAGTCCTTGGGACAGCGCCGGCCCCTATGGCAGCCAGAGACCATTAACAACGAACAGTCGGCTCAGCGTCATTTGGGCCCGTGGATCCATTTCAGAAGCATGAGCCGTGCCGAGCCCGCGATTTGCACTGGCAGAGGTCCCTAAAACAATGGGGGCGCCTGTATGGGGCACACAGTGGGTCTTGTGTCGACAAAGAACGCCGAGTCGGCTAGCGGAATGTTTGCTGAACAGGGACAGTGACGGCACCCCGAATGTCAAGGGGTCCTTTGCGCTGGTGGAGGCAACAAGAACACAAGAGGCTTTCATCTTCCATTTAGCTTCATTGTGTGTTAGCTCCGTAGGTCTGCACGTTCTGAATGTCGCACTAAGAGTAACATGTCAGTGCTCTGCTAGGTTTACTTAAGCACCCCACGAACTTGGGGTAATATGATGGCTAAATTTAAAATAGAACATATCAGTGTTTGATCACTTAGCCCCAATAGCCAGACAGCCCTCGCTGTGTTGCTCACTATTGGATCTTTTGTAATTATTAGGCCTGACTTTATCACCGGGACGCGAGCAGGCCCGTCTGACTTTGTCACCGGGACGCGAGCAGGCCCGTCTGACTTTGTCACCGGGACGCGAGCAGGCCCATCTGGCTTTGTCACCGGGACGCGAGCAGGCCCGTCTGACTTTGTCACCGGGACGCGAGCAGGCCCGTCTGACTTTCGGCGGGTGAAGTCGCAGCCGCAGCTTCGAACTAGCCCTCTGAACTGGCATTGGGAATCGCTTGCTTCCTGCGCCAGGTGTGCCAGCTCGTGCGGAATACTCGGGACCTGCAGGACGTCGAGACCGAGGGCATCTTCAGCCGGCAGCAAATCGGTCACTCAGCCTGGCAACTCATCCAATATCGATTGGCCGTGGCCAATGGAGGGTCTGGATGTCGCTAAAGCTGTCGTAATTCGCTCCATCAGCCGGAAGACTTATTCATCCGCGCAGCATGTCATGCACGTATCCTGCCTTCAAATGGTTCGCCTATAAGGTGGATGTGGCTTCCAGCCTGATGCAAACAGGATTTATGCGACACTCCGGGGTGATGAAGCCGGCGCTGGAGGAGATGGACCCACTGTAGAACATCTGGTTCTGCGTTAACGAAATGGCTTGGCACGGTCGACAGTCGTATGACTAAAGCCTTTTGTCAAACGAGAAATATCGTTATCAATTGCTCTGCATTAAATATCCATAGCCGAAAGCTCATTACCGTGGAATGTGGTGCGCTCTCAGACTACATTTGGTTTTAAGCTTGAGCAAGCTTTACCCGCTATTTGCTGGGCAAAGTTGTTGCAAATTAACGGTGCGCTTTGCATCATGAAGCTAGCAGCCGTCAATGCCCAGGTCTAGTAATTAACCACGCCCCAGTGTGCAACTGACTTCGCTATTCCTGTTAGACGCAGCCGTGCAATGCGCTGGGACAGGCCGGAGCCGGAATCCCGGGCCAAGGAGCTCCGCACATTCCCTTCGGTGCACCGTCCTAGGCTGCGCCGATGCCTGCCCATTTTGTCCCGTCGGGTGGTTTGCCCGACCGGGGTCCTATCTAAATGTCAACTGGGATATAGAAGTTCAGTGGGTTCGTTTGGGGTCAGTTCACGGGAGGGCGGCAGTTGTGTTACACTAAATCATGTGGCAACCCATGGGTGCAGTATTGAATCCATCTGGTGCTTCCGAAGTCACAAATAATTCCTTATGCCGAGTGCTTCTGTGGCGTCAAACGCAGCAGGTCGTCCTCGAATAACTTCCTTTCTGGTGTCTATATTACCGCCCCAGTTCTTGAACCGCCTTTAAAATAAGCACGGCTGTGGGGCTTACTCATGTATTCATGTATGGCTTGATTTTGATAATAATTCCAACCCCAAGCGCGTTGCAGTACGTGCGATCGTGCATGTCCCTTGCCATGCGTGCGGTCCTTTCAGCATTAAAGATGGTCCCCGGTGCCTTCACAAAGAGTTCTTCGCTTAGGGGCGCGCGGTCGGGACGGTACCACCTTGTATATTTAGCCTTGATCAGACCCCTGGTATCTCAAGAGCTAAAGGGCTAGAGACCACAAATTCATAGGGTAGGTGCTGGTCAACTTACACTCATTTATACCAAGCTTTGAAGTCCCTTAATCGTAAGCTTTCGGTAAAATTAGGGCCGACAAGGCCCAACCCAAGGTATGTGTCTGAAGTGCCTCAGACCTCCTCTCGTTACCAGCGTTAACCGAAGTGTTCCTATTTGAATGTATTGAAGTAGATATGATAAAATAAGCTCACTCATAGGTATATTTACTTAAAAAGGCTGCTCTAGACAATACATTTCTCTCTTTAGTAAAAAGACTTCTCAATGCCTCGCTGTTTGGTTACGTCATCGTACCTTGCAGAACATTGCTTGAGGGTCAATTAACGGCCGTTTGATGTGGAAATCATGTTTACGAACGTCAGATATGAGCAATTCGACGATTTTATCCGTTTTGGCCTTGATCGCCGCATGACCAATGGGGTGACGGGATTTGAGTAACGTTCGTATAGCGCCATAGAACTTGAACCTGAAATAGCCTTCCCGAAATAGTCTGCGCATCTTTGGGAGCGTGCAAGCTCAGAATTAGAACGACTTCGGCCCTGAGAAGGGCAGGGCTGCGAACTGCTTAAAGTGATTTTTGAAGATGGCAGTTTCATTTCAAAATACCATGTAAATGTGGAACACTCCCCTTAGCCTAGGCATCTTTTCTAATCCAACCGGCGCTTATATATGGTCCGTTTTCATATTCGACCTTCTGAAGGTGTGTATGTGACACATGATGATAAACGTAACACAACTTTGAAGCTCGTTTTGATATTCTCCTTCAAATACGGTTTAAAACTACGCTAAGTAGCATGCTTCCGAACACAAAGATTGTTTGGGTCATTTCAGGTCAGTGTCCTCGCCCCATCTTCATGAGGCCAATAAATATCTGCCGACATCCTGACCAGAAAGCAATTCGAAATGAGCATCAAAAACTAGCCCATAATGTTTTCCAGTGATACAAACGCGCTGGCTTTGACCTTGATATGAACTTCGCATATGAGGAAAGGTCAATGAAATCAATCTTCATTACATTTCAGTTGTGTAGTTGCCGAAAAAAAAACATCTAAAGGCCTTCAGATTTTATCTAATGCTGCGCTATTGTACTAAGGTAAGCAATTCTCTAGGAAATGCCTTCGCTATCAGGCGTGATCTGACTTTGATCTGCTACAGGTCATTGACGTTCCATGGCATGCTTACTTTTTTACCAAAAGATTGGTTATCAATTCCTGCATTTATACAAAGTTCGGCGACTCGCAGCTGCACCGTATAAAAACTATACTAAAAAAGCCTTCGGGGTGAAAGTGACCCTGCACTCGAACGCATGCTAAACAATCTGACAGATGTACGTATTTGAAAGCATGTGTAGACGGTGCGGTGGTTAATGATAAATGCTAGGGTATTCTCCAACTTATATCTTTCTGACTTCTGGTAGTGCGGGCAAGTCAACTTCTACTGATTCGTGCACTGGGCCGTCAAAGGCCGGGCGAAACTATGCGCAAACCGATCCATTCCAAAACGATCACCGAGACGGAAAACAGCTAAAAAAGCTCACCAGCTCCTACACTTAAGGCATGGTAAACTCTCCAGGTGTTTAAGGTACGACTTTAATTTCCACACTCAGATATTCAGTGCTCATCCGAGTATGTCGGGTTGCTAGACATTATTAACCCTCTCAGCAGTCAGTGGGATTGTGAGAAACGGGACTGTCTCCGTCTCTCACCTGCCGACGAGACTGTGAGAATCAGGGCCGTCTCCGTCTCTCACCTGTCGATGGGACTGTGCGAATCAGGGCCGTCTCCTCCTTTCACTTATCGGCGTGACTGTGAGAAGCGGGGCCGTCTCCGTCTCTCACCTGTTGACGGGACTGTGAGGAGCAGGGCCGTCTCCGCCTCTCACCTGTCGACGGGACTATGAGGAGCAGGACCGCCTCCGTCTCTCACCTGTCGGCGTGACTGTGAGGAGCAGGGTCGTCTCCGTCTCTCACCTGTCGACGGGACTGTGAGAAGCAGGGCCGTCTCCGTCTCTCACCTGTCGACGGGACTGTGAGAAGCAGGGCCGTCTCCGTCTCTCACCTGTCGACGAGACTGTGAGAAGCAGGACCGTCTCCGTCTCTCACCTGTCGACGGGACTGTGAGGAGCAGGGCGGTCTCCGTCTCTCACCTGTCGACGTGACTGTGAGGAGCAGGGTCGTCTCCGTCTCTCACCTGTCGACGGGACTGTGAGAAGCAGGGCCGTCTCCGTCTCTCACCTGTCGACGGGACTGTGAGGAGCAGGGCGGTCTCCGTCTCTCACCTGTCGACGTGACTGTGAGGAGCAGGGCCGTCTCCGTCTCTCACCTGTCGACGAGACTGTGGGAAGCAGGACCGTCTCCGTCTCTCACCTGTCGACGGGACTGTGGGGAGCAGGACGGTCTCCGTCTCTCACCTGTCGACGAGACTGTGAGGAGCAGGGCCGTCTCCGTCTCTCACCTGTCGACGAGACTGTGAGAAGCAGGGCCGTCTCCGTCTCTCACCTGTCGACGCGACTGTGAGGAGCAGGGCCGTCTCCGTCTCTCGCCTGTCGACGAGACTGTGAGGAGCAGGGCCGTCTCCGTCTCTCACCTGTCGACGAGACTGTGAGGAGCAGGGCCGTCTCCGTCTCTCACCTGTCGACGGGACTGCGAGGAGCAGGGTCGTCTCCGTCTCTCACCTGTCGACGGGACTGTGAGAAGCAGAGCCGTCTCCGTCTCTCACCTGTCGACGAGACTGTGGGAAGCAGGACCGTCTCCGTCTCTCACCTGTCGACGGGACTGTGGGGAGCAGGACGGTCTCCGTCTCTCACCTGTCGACGAGACTGTGAGGAGCAGGGCCGTCTCCGTCTCTCACCTGTCGACGAGACTGTGAGAAGCAGGGCCGTCTCCGTCTCTCACCTGTCGACGCGACCGTGGGGAGCAGGGCAGTCTCCGTCTCTCACCTGTCGACGCGACTGTGAGGAGCAGGGCCGTCTCCGTCTCTCACCTGTCGACGGGACTGTGAGGAGCAGGGCCGTCTCCGTCTCTCACCTGTCGACGGGACTGTGAGAAGCAGGGCCGTCTCCGTCTCTCACCTGTCGACGGGACTGTGAGGAGCAGGGCCGTCTCCGCAGGTTAAGAGTCCTGCGGCGGTTGACGGTCACCCTGAACGTTAGTTTGTGGCCAGGTCTGCAACAGCCACATACAGCCAGCCCTGAGCTCAGGCGTTCGGCCTCCCCGCAACAGCCGGTCAAGTTTATGTGCATTGTTTTGGGCCCAGTTACATCGCCCGAGCGTGTACCAGTTCGCCGTCGTTAAAACAACGCACTTAAAGCAGCTTACGTAACCAACCGACCTTATAGGGCCACCCTGCGTCCATCTGCCAATAGCCTCTTACACTAACGACCCTGGCGGGAAAATTTATAACTTGTTGTCGGGATGTATAGATGGTGGTTTTTGAAAGTTTTAACATACAGTTGTTAATTATTTAAAACTGTATACACTCCTGAAAAAACTGTTTTTTCTCGATACATTCCAGTAAGAAAATACAGCTGGAATTGGAACCATAGGACGCAGTGTCATTGTCTATGAATAAATAGTTTTCAACAAATTTATATTGCGGACTGCAATACCTTCCAGACTGTGGGACTGTCTATTGCATAAGGATGCCTTAAGAGCACTGTGTTCGCAAAAAGCAGAAGACACTGGGTCAACTCGAGCGAGTGACCAGTAATACCTAACGTAAGGTCGTCGGATACATGACCTCACATGATCCACGAGGTCAATGCACGTGCCACCATGTGTGTTGAATAGAAGTGAACGCAGACATGGCCCGCATTTGCGTGAGCGCCAACCTTGAGTGCTGGTTCATGATTGTATGCATCGCGCTCTGGATCAATTTGTACATTTTTCCTTTTATATGAATTCAGATGAGCTATGGGCAACACAAGCGTGGTACGTTTTTAGGGGGGCGGAGAACATCCGGTTCATGGAGACAACACACGGCTTTTCCGGAACTACAACTCAGCCTAGCAGAGAGCGATAGGAGTGGCACACCAATGATAAAAAAGCTATCCAGAACACAATGGGCAGCATTCCTTGATGCCCTATGTCTATGGCATTTGTAGTACTCATATGCATACATGTATATACCTATGTATATATACATCTATAGAAAATCAGTAACAGCTTGATGCTAAGGTCAGCAGTCACCATCATTTATGCAACTTCCAACATTTGCATACCTTGTGTGTCATCATCAAAAGAATAGCGTGAAGTATAATGAACTAAAAGGACATGTACCCGACATCCCTAAAAATGGCAACAGTCACAGTTTCAGCAATTAAAAACAACCTCTCTGCGCACAAACACAGCAGCTTAAAGTATGCAAAAATCAAGCAACTAAAAAATATTTTAGACTTAGTATGAAAAAGCCTACCTTGTAGTTTGCAGAAGGCATGCAGACCTCATCATAATTAATGGTGGCTTGTTGTGGTGAATATGAAGTCATTCTAAAATGCTAAGATCGAAAGAATTGGTGCAACGCCAAAATATGGAAATTGTTTAATGTTGAAGTGAGTGTCACACACAGATGAATAGCATCGGATGGGCAAAGAATCTGGGATAGACAGAATGTTGTCTGCATGGCCAGATCTTCCCAAATGCTCCTGTGCTCTGCAGAGCAAGCTACGAGGGATCAGCCCACGCAAGATGCTCCACACGAAGGGACAATATTTTTTAGATGACTGCATAGACGGGATATTTGGGAGGCGTGCTATCTAACTTCAAGAAAGATCCGACATTGAAATAATTTACCAACATGATTTTTGGGAACAGGACAGCGTCAATGCCTTGTAAAAGGTTTGTAAACTCCTTCTCATTTAGATCAACTGCTTACCAAAAAAGCCACCCAACTATCTATTTAGCCTTAGGACTTCATGAACAGCGGGAACTTTTACATACTTGCACTCAGGAAGTTTTTCGATTGTTAATCATTACGAATGGGGAGCCGCTTCCCTTAAATAATGATGCGAGCCAATTAAGCCAGGAATAAAAGAGGCTATTGTTAAAACTTAAACGGAAAGCTCTTTAACTAGCTGTTTTCACGCCATATAGTTCAATATCGTCGGGAATGAATTACAAAAGATCATTCAAAGACCAGTAAGCGTGGGTCGTCTGTGGACAGATGTTTGAAATTTGCCTTGTAACTTTCGAACTCGTACATACAGAAAATGCAAAGAGCCAATCTCATTTTCATCCTCCTCCTCCATAAACGTTGTGGCAGAATGCTGGGATCAATGTGTTACCCGTACCCAGACAACAGAAAAGAGTCGTCAGTATCTCGCTGATAAAATACGGGTCGGAAGTCAGGGGACAGTTTAGCAAGTACTTTTCGTGAAAGCACATCAAGATCTTGCCAAAAGTGATCCAAGAGGAAGTACCATTCTCAAGGCCTCTTTCTGTTTACGCAGTTTGTCATTGCAACCAATGAAGAGGTTGATGGCAGCGAGTTCTAGGAGAGAGCGAAAACGGCATGCGGTAAAACTTATGAACGTGGAGTAGGATACAGAGAAAACGCCCACGCAAATGTCTATCGCTTCTGTCAGCGGGATATTTGTTTTGTTCAGCGTCAGAGCTGGCCATAGTCACGCGTTTCGAGAACTCGTGTTGTGAAGGTGTCTGTGCAATTTGAATAGACTCAGTCAGAGAGTATTCATTTTTGCTTCAAGCTGTAAGCAATGGTATCAGTCACTAGGATATTTCATTTGAGGGTGTACCACAAGAGGAAAAAAACGGTCTTAGAGGCGCAGAGAGTTTGTCGTCTTTTGGAAGGCCATTTAGGGCCCCAGAAGTACTCCCGCAAACATGAATCTACATGGAGCTGCATGCATGAGCTTGTTTTAATCCATTCCCAACGCCTTTATGGCGTGAAAACAGTTAGTTACGGAGTATTTTCCGTTAGCTTCTCAATGTAAGCTCTTTTCTTCAGGACTTTATCGGTTGAGGTCATTATTTTAGTGAAATGGCTTCTCACTTGCAATCATAAATAGTTCAATAAAACAACTTCGTGGGTGTGAAACATGTAAAACCTCCGCTGTTCATGACGTCCTGAGACTTATGAAATAATGCATGTTGTCCTATTTCGGAAAAAAGTCGATACAACTGAAAAGGAGCTTGCTCCTACAAAGCAACAGCCTCCTACAAAGCTGTATTCTTGCTGTCCCTAATAACCCTATCAGAAAATTTTTCACTGTTAGATCGTTCTTCAAGTAAAAACGATGACCTTCCAAAACATGTTTCCTCTGCAGTCATCTCAAATACTGTTGTGCCTCGTGCAGAGCATTTTACGTGGATTAAACCCTTTTACAACGGAGAGTCTACTACAGTTTCTATACTGCAGAGTACAGAAGCATGTGAGAATGGCTGACCGTTCAGGTGATATTCTTTCTGACCTCGGCCCTTCAACCATCTCAGGCAATTCACTTCTATGTAACACTTTAAGGGGGGTGATTCATACTTGCATGGATTTTGAACTGAAATAATCAGATTGAAGATCTTACGGTGCAGCTCATGGCCATACCCCTTCTAAGACCTAAAATAATTTGGGTGCTAAGCTTAAAGACCCCGAAGATGTGAGAGAATGGCTGTGGGAGAGTATTTCAAGGGCACCATTGAATGTATGACGTTATAGCCACGTCATATAAATCCTGTCATTTCATCGTTCATGCGCCGATCACGGCTAAGAATGATAAAGTTGTCGAGTCGTTCATATATGACGTTCGTGAACACGATTTCCGGGCATAGCTGCCGTCAATGGGCTCTCAATCAATGTTGTGCAAAGTACGATTACGCAATCAAACAATGGCGTATTGAGAAGCATATTCACTAAAAAGAGCAAGCTGTGTTGTCTAGAGCAGTCTTTTCTACTGGAAAGTATACCAACAGTTATAAGTGAACTTTTGTCACCATATTCGGTGTTTGGTTCATTGCCTTCAAATGTGAAACAATTCCTACAACCCTTGGTTTATAGGGCGTTGCAGCAATTCTCTCGATCTTAGGATTTTAGAATCTTTACCATAAAACGCTGCCATTGAACAACATGGGTTTGCATGCTCCCTGTCCTCGGTCTATGACGTAGCCTTTTCCGTATGCATTTTAAAAGGTCTTGCACCGCATGATTTTTGTATGCTTCAAAATGTCCTGTTTGAGTGCAGAGATTTGCGCTCAGATTTCGTAACTGTGACCGTTGCCATGTCTGGCGAAATTGGTCAAATGCACTTATATTTAGTTTTATATTTAATCGAATTTCTGTATCCTTGTCCTGATGATCATACACAATTCATCGAAGCGTTGACAGTGACATAAATGATGCTGCTGTCCTTACGATCTCGTTCTTACTGTTGCGTGCTATCCAGGATCGTTCCATACATAAGATTACATATAGATGGACATATATATATATATATATATATATATATATATATATCCATGGAAAGATACACAGACGGACAAACAGACAGACAGTAGGACAGATAGACAGGCAGACAGACAGACAGACAGACAGACAGACGAACGGACGAACGGACGGACGGCGGGCAGGCAAGCAGGCAGGCAGGCAGGCAGGCAGATACATAGATATATAGACACACAGATAGATAGATAAATATATAGATACATAGATAAATAGACAGATAGATAGAGATATAGATGGATAGTCTGGTACGTCTACGAACGTTCCAAAACTCAGCAAAAATAACTTCTAGCTTAACACAACTTGTAACACAAGGCGTTGACGGAGTACTACTCACACATTGATCTTGATGATGGGAGTGGCGGTGGGCTGCTTCACGCGCTGCGCGTACATCGGCGCCAAGTCTCCGTGCACCTCCACCCGGTACATGCCTTTCCGCCCGATCATGAAGTTGCGGTCGAATTCGCCGAAGCGCAGTTGCAGGATATTCTCGGAGCGCTTCGCTGTGTGGCGGAACGTGTAGCACAGGCCCTGCGGCGTCACGTGCACGTGCCACGTGCCGGATTCGGTGAGCACCGGCGCGTCGATGGTGGCGTCCAGGTGCGGCGTGCAGTTGCCCCACCGCATCTGGCAGTCGTCGATGACGGCCGTGAGCGGCATGGAGAGCTGGCTGTACCACTGATCTGGTGGGCCATCGGTCGCCGCGTCGAAGCCCGACCAGGGGAACGGGCCGCGGCCACGAAGCATCGACCTGGAGCGCGGGCCGTGTCGGGTGAGGCTGACTGCTGACTGAGGAGGTATGGGGTCATCGGGAGCACGACGGGGGCTGAGGTTGATGCTCGCCGTGCGGCGCGCCCACATGGGCATGTGTTTACGTCTCAGGTCAAGGATATATAGAGCACGTACTTCTGCACGGAGCGCATGCTTCTGCACATGCTTCTGCTCATGCTTCAGGACAAGCCTCTGGACGGTGTTTGCCCATTGCGGAGACCTGTGGTATTTGTTTCTGGAAGATACTTTAAAACAGCAATTTTGATTACAACAGCAACGCACTTTGAGTAATATGTTAATCATACACACGCCCGCATCAGGACAGACTGTCGAGAACTGCCCATGTGAAGCGCCGCACCGCTGCTCATACCATTCCTGGCTGCCAGTCACCATCTATTCTCGCGCCCTGATATCAAATTACTCGCCTTATGCATTGTCGTGCTCTCACACTCCTCACGTCTATGAAAAGCATCTGTTTTACCGGGCATGAAATGGTTTATAAGTTCATTTCATAACCATCAGAAATGAATGGCACTCATTCGGTTGAGCGTGCGTAAAGGGTTTAACCCAGAAGCAATTTCTTCAGGGAGTGTTCTGTGTGCTTTGAGGGTTGGAGGTGGAGGAGATCACGGGCTTGGTAAGCCCGAGGATGCCGCATATGGAATGAGTAACGAATCGTGCTGGTTGCAGCATTTGGATAAAGTGGGGTTATGGTACGGGTTTGGGTAAGGCAGCAAATATGAAGTCTTGAACAGCGAAATATCCAACAGTTACTTCAAGAAATGTTGTACATTGTCACTGTTTGTGAGTTTTTACTCATAGTTTACTCTATCCACATCACGTAAGTTGTTCAGTGCATTTGCGAGGAACATTATGCACATAATAATACAACATTCAAAAACCTTATTCCTTGGAGAAAAAAACCTGAAAAATGGAGGCGCGAATTCGTTAATATTTGGCCTTTTATTGAAACGAACAGCAGAAGTAAAATCAGCGCATCTATATGTATGTTCTGGTTTTTTTTTCTCCGAGGAATAAGGCTATTGTGTCTAATATATAAGGCTTCTGTAGTATCTATACGCAAACAGTTTCAATCACCAGGCATGGCGCATCACGTATCAGGCATCACTCATACATGTAAACGATACATATATGCATGCAGACGAATTCAAGTAAACAGTACACACGCGCCACGCATCAATTATACATGCGAGCGATTTCATTTAACACGTGCCAGGGTGGCCGGCTGGATACTTTTCGCTCGAGCGGGGGGTTAATTTGAGTTCCCTGAGGTCTTAGAAACTAAGAGAGCTAGAGACACGAAAGTTACGGAGTATGTTGACCTGTACGTGAAATCATTTAGGTCAAAGTTTCAGGCTCCTAGGTCATGACAATCGTGTCAAATAGGTCACACAAGGTCAAGTTCCAGCTTGGTTTTCAAAGTGCTTCAGAACCTGGATAACTGTTTCTAAGCAAAACGTCACATTATCATTTCAGTTCAGTGATCTTGTTTGACCTTTTGAAGGTCATGGTGACCAAAATCATACAAGACTGCTCTGAGTTGTGCAGTGGAATACGCGGTAAAGTATATGTGTGTTCCTTAAAGCAAAATGCTGACCTGGGTCATTTTAGGTCAATGACCTATTCTGACCTGTAAGAAGTCTACGAAAGATGTAAAATGCGGTTCCTGCTATCGATAAAAGCGACATGAGTGCCAGAAACTATCCCTTACAGCAAACCCTAGAGTGATAAAACAGGTTGGTTTTAACCTTGTTCTGACCTTTGCACCCAACCTTAGGTCAACGTAATTTGCTCATTCAATTGTTGTGCTGCCTAAGAAAGCATCTCAGAGATGTATGACCTCGTCTAACACTGTTGTTACATCAGACTGACGATTCCCTAAAAATTGTCTTCGCTGAATCCATGGCCCGTCTTTGACCTGCCATAGGTCAGCGACCTTACAAGGTACATTTATATTCTATACACCGAACGATCTGCTATTCAATTGTCTACAGCTACGCAAAATGTGGTGTGCCTACGTCGTGCCGTTCGGACACCATTCTGGAAAAACCTCCGTGGGGGCCAAGTTGACCCCCACCCGAGCGCCCTGTTAAGCAGGCATCGTGCATTTTTAAACTAGCAGGCATCACACAGCAAGACGCTCATTATATCCGCATAATCGGCCATGATGAGCCTATATGTTAAGGCCTGGTCGCCGACTTTTTCAGAATGAATTCACGTATTTTCCTGCCTGGATGGCCCTGTGCTTTGTAAGTGACCTTGAGTTCTAAAAGAGGTAACGGTTTCATATTTCTCTGGACGTAGGCGTAGAAACGTTTCAAAAAGTGTGTGGGGGGGGGGGGGCAAGCTCAGGGTGTACTCAGGAACTTTTTCTGGAAAGCAAGCCCGATGACTGGAGCTGTTTCTTTCTGGCTGTTTTTGTTTCGCTGTTTCTGTTTATCGCTGGTGCACAGTCTTGCCCATTCGACGTATCTATTTCATTCGGCAAATAAGGCTTCCCAGTTCCCCAAGGTTATTCGTCCATTTTAACATTGCCGTTTCTGGGAGGAGAAATTCCACTAGCGGGTAAGCATTTTGGGCCACTAAGTAGGCATCTGCCTCCACAGGGTAGGTGCCAAAATACGGTGTGGACATAGGCTGGTGAGAATTTCAAAAGTGAATCGATGCCTCACAGTTACAGATTTTTCACGCGCCTTTATTTCGCTGACTTCTTTTCAAAAGATAAGACTGGTCGCAGTATTCTAGGCAGAAACAAGGTCGGAAGCTTAAAATTGCCAAAACCAATGTGATAAAAACCGTGAAACTGGAGATTGTCTTTTAAGAACCAAGCCACATAATAAAGGCTCGTCTGTCATATGTTTCTTATCTGGACCCTGCTCCCTTCCGCCGTCGGTGGTCACTGCCCCGGCCCGGCTGTCTCCCGATGACTGACTGTGAACTGATCGCATGGTTTCTTTGTTGCATATTTCTGGATCAGCATTACTACCAATTGGTATGTGAAACATTTGTTGGACACCTGTGACAGTATCTTTTTCCGAATTATCTTTCCCCACACCACACCACAGCAGAAAAATAGCCTCCGGGAAGCTGCCTGCCTTAGGTATGTATCGGCCCGATGAACATTTGATTGCCCATCATTCAACGAAGGTGACTTTGTAAACCGATATAATTCAGACGACTTTTCAGAATCTTTATCTGGGTTCTACAGACATTAAGGACACCGCGAAGGTAAATTAGATCGATATGTCTGATCAAAATTTGAAAGTAAACATTTGACTGCAGTTCGAGTGGTCAACAGTGGGTATTAACATGGCCAAGCCGTTCTTGTCTGAGATGTTCACTATTCAGTCAGAATCGATTAGTGCTTCAATTTATGTCACGTGCTTTTTAACATGCCCGCCCTCAAATCTTAACAACAAAAGCCTCCACACCAGGCGTTGCAGTTTACATAGTCCACGGAGCGTTAGCCTAGCGGCTAACTTGTAGCTTTGGCCCACCGGTGGACGAAAATGATGACACTTCTGATATAATTAGCTTTTAACACATTAACCGGTTAGTAATATAAGCTATTTGACATAATTTTGGGCATGCGCGCCCAAAAATTTTAGAAACAAAAACCTCGACCCCGGGCTTTGCAGTCTACGTAGGCCGCTCAGCGTCGGCCCAGGAGCTAATACTGAGCCATGGCCAACGTGTGGACGAAAATGATGACGCTTCAGAGAGCAGTATCTTTGAATGCTTCATGACATCAAATCTTGCACTCAGAAGGCAGTCTGGGCTCATCTTTCACGTATGTGATCTTTAGATTGATCATATGAACGGATTGGCCTTTAAAGCACCGCGCACTGCGGCTGGTATCTGATGTTTGAATTGGAAGTGTAAAGGTAGAATCTCTAGGTTTCGTGTTTTTTGTTGTTGTAATTATTCATCTACCCGGGAGACAGATTAACACGGCGCCCGCTTGGCGACACGTGCAGTGGCCGAAGCTGTTCAGTTTTGCGGAAGCTGCAGCCCAGGTCATCGAAGTCCTTACCTCGAGACTGCGGGCAGGCATGTTCAAACATTTTGATGTTATTTGTTTTACTAATCCACTATAAAAATGGACGTTTTCAGGCAAACATGGGATGGCCTTGTTTAGCTTTTTTTCGCTCAACAATAATGAGACCCCTTATTTCCTTCGGAGCAAGGGGCTCCTAATGTAGAACACCATGCATACATTGCCGTTTCCGGTCAAGGGCTGAAGGTCCACTCCGCCCCATCGCAAAGTGTTTTCTGGCTGTCGTTCTGGCAACAGGGAACAGGATCTCCTGGTCCATCCGGAGGCCGGAAGAAGGAAATATTACACCACATTGTTCAGAAGACCTGCCTGACATGGGAGGTCTTCTGACCCGCTCAGTTGGCCCTGGATCAGCACAGAAGCCCTCACTAACGCGACAACATCCCTGATCGCCGCAGGTAGTTTAATAATTATCACATAGACTCCGGTTTCACGTTTTTTTGTTTGTTCTTCAGAGGTATTGAGGACTCCCTGAACGTAGATTGTAGATGAAATGGGGGTCCCAAATTTGTATTAGCATAGCTTATCCGTGTTCGCCCTAAAATGTTCAAGATTCAGTCAGAATTGATCACTGATAAGCTATGTAACATGGTTTGAACATGCGCGGCCGCAAGCCATGGTAAGAACAGCCTCGATACTTGGCGTTGCAGTCTCCATAGGTCGCGCGGCGTCGGCCCTGTGGCTGAACACTACGTGGCGGTCAATGAATAACCGAAAAAGATGACGCATCTTGGAAAAGATAGCTGGTGAACTAGGTAATCAGCATGTACGATTAATGTAGTGTAAAAGGAAGCCAAACACAGTCTTAGTCTGAAAAGTTAAGGGGGGCAATTAATACTGCTGCACCCTCCCCCCTTGAAACGTGTGGGCATGGTCTCCTGCCCCCTCCCCTCCCCCCCCCCCCCCCCTGTTCCTACGCCTATGTCTCTGGATTTCAGCATGAGTGCGTTTTGTCAAAAAAGGTCACCGAAAGGGCATTCTCTGTGTTGTTTTTAGCTTCTCGCAGGTTTTCAGCATATCTCAAAAGAACAGGGCTCATGTACACGCCGACACAAACTATGCCCTTCCCCCCCCATGTTTTTCACACAGTCCACACTTAATTTGGTAAACCACGTTTTTTGTGTATAAGCCCCTTGAATCCCAGACTTGCATAACTGGCACGTATTGCCCCCGAGCCCTTCATCTTTCAGCTGGAAGATTTCACCAGTGACTTTTGTAGCTTCTTGTCTTTCTTGCAAGCTATGCGTGTTTGAAAGTTATGCGTGCCTGAGAACTATGCATCTTTTATTCTCTATCCATATGTTTGATTTTCAAAAGCAAGTGCTCATCTATGTAAGATATTGCTGAGAATCCGTCGTCTCGTAGAGTGTGTTCGCGTTTCCTACTTCCCCTCCCCCTCCATATGCCCTGGATTGGCTTACTTCTTCCCGCATAGAAAATCTCTTTTCAACAGCAAAGCCCATATTTTGTGTATTTTCTTTCTTTATTTTCACTCCTTGAGTTATATAGAGCCCTGTGCAGCATGCTGTGAATTATATTGTGCTTAGTGAAAGTTCGATGCGCGTTGAGTGCGAATCAATGCGTGGAAGAATTATACCAGAACTGATGGGTTTGCTAAATAGCTCCGGTTCTGAGGTCGTACGGTTGTTCCTCCTTTCCAAAGTCAATAGCATATCCCAATATTGGACCTCCTTTCTGGCCTTTGTATTCTCTATCGTAAAAGCCAATTGGAATGCGGATTGTACATGAACTCCAAAATACGTTTACGTTGTTTACTGTTCGTGTCACTGTAAAAAAGTTTACACTCACCGCGCTCCCATACGCCAGCATAACCATCGATGCTTGTATCCAAGAAATTTTGTTTTTATGGGCTGCCGGCCAGGGCCTCCGTTTCAAATTGGTCAAAATATATTATCGTAAGGGGATGGGTTCTCAATAGTTTTGCCCACTTTCTGTCGATGGTAATCGAAATCACGGTTTACGAAATTAAGTACAAACTTTGTGAAAAGTGGGAGGGCCATGGTAACTGTCGAGGAGTTCAGGCGCCGTATTCGTCTAAGATATAATGAGCACCTGCAAGACGCTCAAAAGAAAACAGAAAGCTCCCGCCGATCATCATTTACTTTTTAGACACGTACTCGGGCAGAAATCCGGGAGGTACAGACACTTCACCCTTTTAGAGCTTCAAGTCATCCACAGAGCGCAGAACCATCCAGGCAGGATGGCAAGTAAACTTCTTATAAGAAGTCGTCGGCCAGACCTTAACGCACAGGGCCCATCATGCCCGATTATGTGAATGCAATTAGTGTCTTAAACTATAGGGACCTGGCTAAAGCGCGAGGTCCCACGGCCATGTGGAGAGCAGCAAAGATCAGTTTGCATGATGTCAGAGCTATTGCAAGTCCCCGGTAGGTTATCCCTTGCCCTGATTCACCGTTATTCGCTACGAGGACTGATGTGCGGGAGTCGATGTGGTCACATGCCGTTTCCAAGCTGAGGAAGAAAGAGCTTCGCGAAAAAAAACAACAGTGAATTGGTCTCAACGGCATCTTGCGACTGGTAATCAGCTATATGTTGCTGGGGGTCGGTGAGTGGTCCCATAAGGACAAACAGCATTTATTGACTTGATTACAGGTGGTCAGTCAGATAAGATAGTCAATAATTGACCCCGAAAGGTCACATTTGCTGGAAAAACAAAGTTTTCAGCTTTTCACACGCATATGTACCAGACAATGACCCGTAGCGGCATGAGACTTATGTCACATTCAAAGGCACTGTAGCAGGTTTTAGATGTGATGAAATATCCTCACTTGCTTCTATTGGTATTCTTTAAAGTGGAAAAACGGCTTTAAACAGCGCAATCTTTACTTGAGTAAATATGCTCCTCAACGCGTCTTTTTTTCATTGTGCCATTGTGTCTTGTACAGCACTGATTGAGAGGCAACTGACGGTCGTTATGTCTGGAAATCGTGCTCTTGAACGCCAGATATGAACAACTCGTCAATGATATTTTTCTTGGCGTAGATCACCACATGCCCAATGGAATGACAGCATTTGAATGGCGTTATCATGGCGGCATGGATGCCTGGCTGACCTTGAAATAGCCGGCGCGAAAAAGTCTGCACATTTTCGCGGGTGTATAGCCCAAAAAAGGAAGCTTATGCTTTAAGAATGGCAGGGCTGTTAACTGCACCGAATGATCTCCAAAGCGACGAGTTAATTCAAACACGATACAAATGTGGCGTACCTCCTTTACACGGGCATATTCCTGGCTTGATTATGTGCCTGATACGTATGATATGATTCTGATATGTAGTGTTGTGTGAATCGAGTAGACATTTATGACATATGACAATATAACAGTGTCAGTTAATATAACGGTGTCAGTTAATATAACAGTGTCAGTTAATATAACGGTGTCAGTTAATATAACAGTGTCAGTTAATATAACAGTGTCAGTTAATATAACAGTGTCAGTTAATATAACGGTGTCAGTTAATATAACGGTGTCAGTCCGCCGTGTGCGGTCAGCGGCATCGTCCGTCGCTGCCCGCCGCTAGTGCCCGTTATAGATCGCCGTGCGGTCCTCCAAATTAACCGTCGCTTCTCCGAAACCAGAAAGGCCAGCAACACATTTTGTTGTGTCCAAATACGTGCAATGGACGTCTTAGAGGCTGCTGGAAATTGTGGCGCAATTGCATGACATTCCGGATAGGTATTCTCAGAAAACCTAAGGGGTCCTCATACCCCCTAAGTATCAGGGCCAGGAGCCTAACCGCGTAAGATTTATGGCAGCAGCATCTAGCTTTCGGAGAGAATAGGAAAAGAACCATGTGATCCCTTGAGCTAAAGAATATGACATACAGGGCCTACAATAACAGCAGCATGGGGCCACCGAAAAGTGGGGAAAACCGAGGTCCAATGCGAAGTGTTTTTAAGCGATGGAGAGTGCCCTTGTAAGTTAACAAGAAGCCCCTCCCCGAAAATAGCATGGGGCCCCCCGCAGATGGAAGTAAATAGGGAAGAGCACGATACCAATGTAAATGGGTCACTGAACATCGAAAGAGCCTATGTACCGTAGGCTTCTTTACATATAGGGTTCCCGTAACAGCGCAAGGCCTTCTGAGTCAATGTACAAAAGCCAACACCAATGTGAAGGGCCCCAGAAATTTCGGAACTGTTCCCGGCACGCTAACATATGAAGCTCCTGCCAGCAGCACAAGGCAGTCTTAGCATCTTAGCAAATGAAAAAGACAGACTTTAAAGTTTTCCTCACCTCATCTCATTTGGGGATGCTTCGTTCAAATCTATTGCTCTCTGCTGCCCGGTGCAATTTTGTAAATCGTTCTTTTTGTAAATTAAATGCAATTTTTTGTTGTAATTTTTTAAATGTAGATGTAAAATGTAATTTTGTAAATGTAAATAAAAAAGCGCGATGATGCGTTCAGTGTTTTACGCAGCATTGGACTTCTGGTCTGATGATAGCGAGACCAGTCCAATACGTGATGATCCGAACCCTCACTTGCATGATCGCGCAGGGAAGGTGGACAAGGTATGGCTAGATTTCGAATTGTGAAAATGTGAGCTCTGAAGTGTGACATTCCCAATTTCCCTTATATTCAGGATGTTACCAATTCTGGCTCCAAAGCTGTGATGCGTTGGAGAAGCAGCCACACCGCACCGCTGGTACATTTCGCGTTTGAAGGGGCGAAGACCGATGTCACCTCAAACGGGCCTTGGCTTCATCTTCTCGTGCCTGGTGGCACATCGGAGTCTTGGTATGCTGTGATTATGTTCGGTGACAATGCGAGTGTCCTTGCATTGCGTGGCGGACGCCTTATTGCGAGCGCCCGTGTGTCAGGTTGAAGTGCAGTAACGTTTGCTGGCAACTGATGTTGGTTGTTCATGAGTGTGCGCAAGCGTCAGTTTGTGTAAGTGACTTGGTCGTCATCCACCATAAATCGCTTCAGTGCGCGAGTGTGAGTGTTCAATAGATTGCGCCGGTAACTGGTTTGGCTGCTCTATGCTGCATTCTTTCAAGTCTAATGGAGACACTGGATGTCAGAAGTCCATTACAAACTACATTACAATTGTTAAACAAAGGAAAAATGTACACTGTGCATATGCCGCTGGGAATATGTCGAGGCAGAAGTCATGATAGTGGGTAGAGAGGCCCAATGACTACAAGGAGAGAGAACACACCGACTACCATTGAAATTAGCACCAATGCATCACATTTCATTACACATTTGTTCCAGAGGCTTCACTGCACCGGCCTCCCCAACATTCCCTTTCCCCCGCCTCCACTGCCACCGACACCGCATCGCTTACTTGTTGGCCGGCGAGCGGGGGCACACAGTGAAGCTTGGGAACTGCATGTGCTCCTCTTTCCTGATGTTGGAGACCGTCTCCTGGCGGTACAGGTCCCACTGCTGCTGGGCCAGGAAAAGCCACAGCGCCAGCAGCACGGCACGGAGAAGCACGCGGCTCACGCGCGTCGTCGCCAGCAGCCTCGCGTGTGCCATGCTGGGGCGAGGAGGCGGCGCGGCTACAGCGCCGCCCGGTGCGCCGGTTTGGCCGCCGCTCGTAGCGTGACACATGCCACGACCTGAATCTGGGCGGTCGCAACTGTTAGTCTTGTAGTCTTTGTCATCTTTTTTCGGGATTTTCACTGAGCAGTATTAGTCGGAATGTTCTTGTTTTTTCAGCTCGAAAAAGATGAGAAATGTGAGCTTGAAAGTACCAGACATGGTACTAATGCCGAGCTCGGATGACGAATAAACGTCCTGCTTTCGGTGAATCTGCGAGGCGCTGTATTCCTAATGTGGCTACATATCACGTCAGCACTCGTTTCTGCACGCTGCCCCTCAAATGATAGGGCAGACTGGTCGTGTACGTCCTGGTGTGGAGCTCTGTATCTATTAAAAGGACCGTAAGCCCTCAATGCGCATCGTCCCCGCAGTATATCATCATAATCACCAGAGCTTGTCCAACACGTCCAGCGCTGCACCCAAATGTGAACCAGGTCTACCCTGTTCGCAACGGCCGTCATCGGACTTCTATGCTACAAGTACGAGGGTCTCAAAAGAAGTGTCTTTTAAATGAAGGTGTCCTAGAAACAAAGCATGCTGTCTTATCTATCTTATCTTCGAAAAGAAGACTGAATTCCTCGCCGTGCCCTTGCACTGTCGGAGCCTGTTTCATTATCACACTCGTAGGGGCCTTAGAGGCCTCCCATACGACCTTGAAACCAACGCAAGCTAGAGTCAGTGAGCCAAACCAGAAATGGAAAGCCCTCGCCAAATCGCATCAGATAGGTATGTCAAAACAATGAAAATTTTGGCCTTTTGCAGGTCAGGCCGGGCTGTAGTTGCGAATGTAGCACTTAACAAATCCCTGCTTTTATCCCTAGAACCAAGCATGCCACGGCAATATGGAAGACGGCATTGAATACCTCTTGGTAAACTACATCACACTGGAAATTATTGGACGTCAACAGATAAGACCTGTGGTGAGTCATCCCAGGTCAATGGGGTAAAAGCGGTTGTTGCGTTGGTCCATCTTTCTATACCAAGAACTAAACAGGCCATACCAATGGGGAAAACAGCATTAGAACGGCCTTCCAAAGCTGTAAAATGACTGAGGCACACTCATAAGGGTGTTAGCAGTAAGATAGGTGGTACAAGTGATAAATTAAAAGTTAAATGCTAAGGTTAAAGTTACATGGCCTTCATAAATTCAAATCTGCCCTCAAAGTCAGTGTTTGACCTAGCTTGACTTTCGATGACAACCTTTCAGATGCTACAAGACCTATAGCGTCGCACTATATATACATATATATATATATATATATATATGTGCGTATATTAAAATAGAGCAGGAAAGTCACTAGAAAACCCCTTTTTTAAAGTGCATTACCTGCGAGAAATAAGCGTTATGCGTCACTTATGAGCAGAATGTCTCCGACATGCCATTGGCAAAAAGGTTGAGGATCTTAAACCAACAAGGTCACATGCTTTAAATATTTACAATATGTTAAAAGTAGGATGTTTATTTGCCTACAGAACATTTTATTGCCATGCTCAAGCCGTTCAGAAGTGATTTGGGAAAACTTTATGAGGGCTTCCGAGGTCCCTAGAGTGGTGAAGGCTTGTTCACGTATTCATTCGTTTTTGGACTTAACCAGGGCCCAATTTTTGACACGAGACAGATACTTAAAAGTTAGAAAAACACTTAAGGAGGCTCCGTGGTTTTATGGGAACCAATCTGAATGTGTTACAATGTAGACTGATCCTTGTGTCTGTATTTGAATTTTAATTATGGAATGATCGACAATAGAGATATGATGCATTATGAGGCACCCAGTATTTTTCAAACTTACCCGACCCTCAGGATGCGTAACGTGGCAGGCCACTGGAACGCATCAGATACTTTCCACCAGCTAAAGGAACAGGTGTTGGCATATCAGATTCCTCTAAATTGGTCAAATTTCCGAAATAGTTTAGGGTAACAGTTGTTTGGAGACAAATGTGTAGGTTTTTTAAAAAAAACTACCATTCCCTACCTTTGAAACCAGCAATTCATTGCTACCCGACTCAACAGGGCACCTGCCATCTAATTGCGTTTTTTTTATTTTAAATTTTGTGCTCTGATGTTCTGAACTGAAGAAGCAAGTCATATCATGGTCTTGGTTGGCTTCAACCTTTCACTATACCCTTCACAGGTCGTGAGCTAGGATCCGTTACGAAGACTGAAACATGCCTGGATTGACAGCGGTTGTCACGGACCAAACGAACGTCATTAAATAAAATGAGCGACTTCATTCACTTCATGAACGAATCTTGTAATGAGCCTAGCTGAGCTTTAAGCATGCACACAGCAATTTGCCAACGAAATCATCAGATATGGATGTGCAAACTGGACGGAGCGCGCAAACACGGCGGTTGTGTCGCTTTAATAAACTAGATTGCAAAGAGACTGCGCCACCAGACCGGTTTGAGACGTCAGGCCGCTGTTACCTGAGCGCCAAAGTCAGGCCTAATCAGGCCTGTTCAGGCCCTTCAGGTCTCGGAACCACCTGATCCGCGGCTGTCGAGGCAGGTTGATCACAAGAGGAATACAACAGGAAACATTGGCCCTACCTCTGCTGCGCCGCCGTCGCCAGGGCCCGACTAACAAACCCCGAGGCCCAGTATCACCCATAACTGAAGAGGCATGGGCGCAAAGCTCTGGTATCAGTGGCGCGCCCAGGAGTGGTCAGGAGGGCGTCGAGCTCCGCTGGTGATGACGGACGCTACGATCGATCCGCGAGCAGCTAGCCGCCTCTTCAATCCAAACATGCCAACAGATCTGCAAACAGCGTTATGTCCCCTGTCCCTCCTTCGCTGAGTGCCTGGGCGCGCTGCTGCGCGCGGTCCACCCGGCAGCGGCTCGCATCGTTCCGCCGCGGTCGCCGGGTGCGTCGATGCCATTGTTTCCGCCTGTTTGCCGTCGGCCAGGTCAAACAGGGTGCGCAGCGGCCTGGGAAGCGCCCCTTGGCAACGCACACATGGTGCTGATGGATGGTAAGGCGCTCTGTAGCCTCCCGAATAGCCTTCATGAGACCCGTGTTTGCCCTTAGGTCAAGACAAACTCGGGCGTTCCTAAGCGTTTTGATGACATGTCCACACAATGCTGCAGAGTGCGGAACTTGAGCAGGGTCAATTATGCCATGAGTAGGCATGGACAAAGGGCGCTTGACTCGAGCTTATATGTCTTCTGTAATGTTTGCATCAGCGCCGACTATGCCACCACCTTCATTAGCTTGAAAGGCTACCCCGTAAGTGCCTGAAGTGCCACGCCAGAGGAGCGCAATCAATTGCCTCAGCGAAGATCTAAAGGAATATGGCCATGTTGCCGTCATTGCCGAGCGCCGGAAAATAACACTTATGTGTGCATAGTTGCATGCGGATTTTAAGGTCAACATAACGGAGAGACACCCTTAAGGCTTCACAAGCATAATATCTAATGAGCATAGCATCGAAAGAAGTAAATGTACAGGATGATGGCTTGTTAAGCGCTCCACAAAATCAGGTAACTAGCTTGCGATATATTTGCTGGTGACCATGTTTTCCAACCGACGCCCTTTGTAGTGAGTGGATATGGAGTGCAAAACAGGCGGTGTTATATTATTGTTGGCTCTTAACATGACATTAAACAACTCAGTTAATTTGGCGACGAGATCTCTCACGTCGTTTTCCGCGAGACGACGAAACTGTTTGCCGAGATCCAGGTTCAAACCCCACGACTTACGGTATGAAGGTGTGCCCTCTCAACTGACCTACATCGTTCCCTTAATGGCAGACGAAATGGTTATCGCCATATAACAAATATATTGACTTAATCGAGGGGATCCACCCGACTTTGGGGACCCAAACGGACAGGATATGACAATGAATGGGAACATTTTCCTCTCACGCGTCTAGCAGGCATAGATAAACTAATGTTAGCGCCGGCGAGCAGAGTGACACAAAATGGCACACGAATAACATTGCTGGATTATTAGTTGCGCAGCTGTCTATTACCCTACGTTTTTGGTGACGATGTCGGAAACACTTGGAAAGACGTTTAATGTCGGGTGAACATTGGTAGCCATACACTGGTCACTGCATCTGCGCGGTCGCCGTGATATGAGTTGTCTCGTGTTGTGAATGTGCTGCGTGTGAGGCCGGTTTTGGGAAAGGCGACATTGGTTGCGTCCTGTTCCATCACTGCTACACCCATGTATAGCTGTGCTATAGCTATGGGTCAATGCTGTTCAGATGTCTTATGATTCGTGGATGGTAAGCTTGCGCACAGTTTGCGTAGGTTTGCGTTTGCGTTTCTGAGTTTTCACCTGCTCTGCGTTTTCGAAATCTGGCACCAATAGTTATTCGTTAATCGTTAATTATTCATTGTTAATCGTTAACAACGTCCGAAACCGGGTACATCAATGGCCTCGTGCGGTTGCAAGTCACAGTCTGCACACTTCTAGCCACGCTCTTCACGGCATGACTGCCCCTTTCTCCTCTTCCAGTATAATTTAGTCCCATGTCGCTGCAAGATCTGGTCGGCGATATCTGAGCCCGTTTTCAACCCGTTTTCTTCAGCGTTTCTGTCAGTTGAAAATTTAGCCTTTCTTTCTTGGAGGTGATGAGGAGGCGATCGCATAGAGGAGCAAAACAGTGCCGACGTTGTAGCGCTTCGGGAATGCACCGTTTGATTTAATAGTCTGCACCGGTGCCTCCAAAGTGTTACAGCATAGCTTACAAAGAATGTTGTCATGCGTTGAGGAAAGAGTCTTAATAGCACGGTTGGTGGTCATATACTTGTACCACTCTTGATCGGCATACCTTCAGGTGAGCCCGTCGATCCCGTCGCAGGCCACGTCGGAGAAGGCAACCGAACCTGCACAATTTCTGGGTAGGGGACGTTAAAATTCGCTCGGCCTGCGGCATCACGCTCAACAAAAAGCAAAATGTGGAGTTAGCCGTTGAACAAGGATAGCTGAAAGGCGTGTAGTACCAGTTTGGTCAGTCAATGTGATGTGTAGCACTAAATATGATGCAGCAAGTATTGAAATGCGGCTTGACGGCTGACAAAGCATCTGACTATCTTCTGTTTGATGTAATGGCCCAACGAGCATATACCGCATCCTTTAACTGATAGAATCGCCGGTATGGATTGCACAGTGACCATTTGCTTGATTTTTATTGGACGATGGCTTCAATTTCACATGGCACTGAAGCAATCGCGTAATTGTTTGGGCTCATGGCACCACCGTCCTGGAAAGTCGTGCCAGCAACCTTGACTAAAGTGAGCGTGTCCTGCAGGTACAGTCGGTCAAGGTCATTAAGCGCCAGATCAAGGTCATTCAAGGCTCATTGCCTTGCGCAAGTGAGATATCGGGTGGCGAGGCGGTCGAGACTGACCGATTGGCACCTTCTTCTCCTAGGCTGTGAATCGAGTGAAGTCAGAGGCCAATAATGGTCACCTACAGCAAACGTAACAGTTTCCTGATCGCGAATCAATGTACAAGGATCGTACATTTTAAGATGAGACATTCGCGGGGGGGGGAGGGGGATACTGACGAACGACAACGATCAAATACACAGCATGATGCTGAATAGCTTGCGGCACAAATGCACCAACCGCTACTGTTCGAGATGAAGAAAACATTGCACGACGAAACAAAATCCATAGGTTACGAAGGTGACTGACCCCACAGACAAACGAATACGGTCACGCTGTGCTTCTAGGCAACACGAAATTACGTGCTTCGTCGGAGCAAGGAGCACTTATTTTTCCAGAGGCTCGAAGTGATGGAGAAATGTCTCTTTGAACACCAGAAAGAGACTGACTCGTAAAGAAGAAGCCCTCAGGGTACTCAAATACAACACGCTTGAAGAAAACGTCTTGAAGGAGCGTCCCGGGTGAAACGACATTTTCTGTTGGCGTGTATCGGTTTTTGAAAGCCAAAGCTTTCGGTCCGAGAAGAAAATGTTGAACAGTCGTCGTTCTGAAAACTAAGTTCATGTGTTTGCGCATGCTAAAGATGGTCTTTGGACAGTGCTCATGTTTCAGAATGTCAGTGCCATTATTTGTAAAATCTACGGGGAAAATTTGTGATACGCCATCCGCGAGATACAAGGGCCAGTTTTCTAGCACAGCGAAAACGGACAGTATCATATAAATATTTATGAACAGAAATTTCGAAAAAAGCATCGATACCGCTGTACTCCCGGGCGTTCGATTCTAGATCGAGATTCTCGTGCTTCGTGTGGTGTTCCACAACTGGCGATTGCTGCGTGATGAAATCAAGTGCGTGTCCAGGGAAAGGGGCAGGAAGCCCATGCCCCCTCCCCAAACCTGACCAAAATCTGGCAATGAATTATGTCACTAGGGTCGAGACTTCAAAGAAAGCAGAGTAAATTTCAGTTAGTTTTGGAACACTCATATAAAGCCAATCAATATCCGTTGAGTTACTAAAAAATCAGAATTCCATTTGACGTTTTGCTCCCAAGTCAGGCATTGCGCCCCTAACGGCGTTTGCACTCGCCCTCAAACGAAATACGCCAGACCTTACATCTACGACGATGTTGTCGCGAACACTTTAGCACTTGCTCCTGTGGCCGGCTGGACACCCTTCGCTCGGGTGGAGGTCAGTTTGACCCCCTGAGATCTCAAGGACTAAGAGAGCTAGAAACACGAAACTTACAGGGTGTCTCAGCCGGTATCTAAATCCACTCGGGTCCAAGTTTGAAGTTCCTATGATGTGAACTTAGCGTCAAATAAGGTTAAACAAGGTCAGTATCCAGGTTGGTCTACAAAGCGCCCCCAGAACCTAGATACCTGCTCTAAGCAAAACGCCTCATGATCATTTAAGGTCAGTGACCTTGTTTGACCTTTCGGAAGTCATGATGACAAAAATCATACGAGACTGCTTGGAGGTTTGCATTTGAATGAGCGACACAGATTACGCTAGGCAGTACGCTCCTGAAAATGTACCGTTGACCTGGCTCATTTTAGGTCAGCGACCTATTTTGACCTTTGAGAAGTGTGTGAAAGGCGCATAATGCGGTTCCTGTTATCAATAACTTAAAAATGAGCACCAGAAACTACCACATACAGCAAGCCCCAGAGTAATGAAACAGATCGGCTTCGACCTTAGTCTGACCTTCAAAACTGTTCCTAAGTTAATGGAATTTGGTCATCCATGTGTTGCGTTGCATAAGAAACTACCTCAGAAATGTACGGCCTTGTCTACCATACCGCCGTCGCAGAAGATTGAACG